GAAGATGATGGTCAAATATGGAACCATCACACCTGAAGAAGGAGTTTCTTATCTGGGTAAGGCCAAAATTGTCTGTACGTCTTATTTTTGACAAAAGAGTGGCCATTTTTAATTTGAATAGGCATGTGGTGTCAAACAACACACTGGTTTGCAGTGCAAATAGCTTCTTGTTTTTTTTTTACTTACTGAATAGTCTCCATATTGAGCGTGAGATTTCTCCCATCCATTTTTTTTTCTGAGTGAGTCCCCTCATTTTTGCACTGTCCCAACCAAGCACAATGTGTCACATAAGCTGTCTCTTCAATGGGAACCAGAGAATATTTTGTCTGCTTCACTTTTTGTGTTAAACAACAAATATGTTTTGATTGGCTGTTATTGTGTCACATTACACAGTATTTTCTCTTTTAGTGAGTATAGATGTAAATACTTGTAACTGGTAGTTTTTCACACTGGTTAGGACATGATGTATGTGTGCTTGGGCAAAAGGGAATCCCTGAGATAAGCTTTATGTGACTGACTGCTTTTGTGTGCATTTGGTTCCTGAAATAATGCTTTGTCCAGCCTGAAAGAGAGAGAGCAGCTGTATTTTGACATGCTCCTAATGTTAAATGTTTGTCCCTATCAAATTAAATATAGAGTGCATACTTGAAGCAGATTTCTGCAGATGCAGTGTCAGTGTGTGCATTATGTACAATCATACAACAGCACAAAAGTCACATTAGTTAAAAAAGTGGTGGTGAAATCCCTGTATGTGTTCGGTGGGTGGGCCATTTATGATATGATTAAAAATTGAAGGCTTAACTTATGAATATTAATTATTACTTTTGTTTCCTTTACTGATGGCAGCCATAACAACCACTAAGCAAACATTTACTGTAGAAGTACAATTTTCAGTGCCAGATAGCCTTTGGTTGTAAAATGCGTACCATTTATCTTAAGCTGTGGTTAGCATAATCGACCATGACTAAAGTGGTTGCCAGCCATAAACTATGGCAACCCCATGAAAAATAAATACACATTAGCATACTTTTAAAAAGAGCACTGATTACAAAAATAATATTTTTGAAATAAATAATATTTTTAATATTTTCAAAATAATATTTTTTTGAAATATTTTGAAATTAAAAGGAAATAAAATAACATACTTAAGTGAAAACTGAATGTAATGTTTTCGGACAGTTAAAAAATGTATAACAAATGTATTTGATTTTAAAATTAAATTAAATGCAGTTTGATTGATTTATTGTTTTAAGTGGGACTTAAGTGCATCTTTTTATGTACTTAATTGCTTCTTTTGTCTATGAAATATCATTACTGCCAAATGTACTGACAAGAATGTATTGTAAACTAAAATATACTTTAATGTCAGTTCAATTAATATTTGTAATTGCATAATCAAAATAGTATTTGAAATATATTCATATAAAATGTTAAACTGACACTAACACTACAGTTAAAATTATAATCAAGTACTTTATGTGTGCTTTAGCAGTCAACACATCAAAATAAGTGCACTTATTTCAAGTATGACAAAAGATTATTAAAAACATAATGATTTAAAAAGCACTTTAAAGTAAAACTTTTCAATTAAACATTAATACAAAGTGGACTTTTTGAAAGTGTACTTAAAAAACAGTCATGGAAGTGTATCCTCTCCAAGGACATTTGGTCTTGGACTTTAATTTTATTAATATGCAAGCTAATTTTTTTCTTTCTTTCCTTCTGTAAACATACTTTTAAGATTTGTAGTACACTGCAAGTGTACATTCATGTGTGGCACATTTTTAGGTTACACTTTATTTTGATAGTCCACTTTAAAGATTCTACTAACTATAAGAAACTTTGCAACTACATGTCAACTAATTCTCATTAATTTGCAACTACATGTCTACTAACTCTCAGAGTAGACTGTTAGATTAGGTTTAGGGTTAGTAGAATAAGTTGACATATAGTTGCAAAGTTTCTCATAGTCAGTATGTTGTATGTTGTGGACCCGTCAAAATAAAGTGTTAGAAGATATTAAGTAGACAGTCTACTAATACTCTAATGACTTCTAGTTGACATGTAGTTGCAAAGTTACTTACTGTTAGTAGAATGTCTAAAGTGGACTATCAAAATAAAGTGTTACCGATTTTTAATAATTGTTTGTTTGGAAAAACTTTCCCTGTCATTAATTTGACTCATACGTGTTTGTTTGACTGGCACCGTATCTGTGTTAATGTTCAGAAAAAAATGTGCTTAGTGAATAAATAGGATTTTGCACAGAAATATTGTTCACAACATTTTTTGTTTATATTTCATTAACTTTGATCAATGTATTTTAAGGGGACACAAGCCATGTCCGTCTCATGCCCTTATATGTTCAAGACATGCTCAAGCAAACAGCATCCTGTTACATTCATCCAGCGTTCTCTCTTTTGTTCCCTCTCTCTTTCATTCCGTGTAATTAATTCTGTCTGTTTCTCTAATGAGATGGCCGCGGTCGTTATGATAGAACACAGATAACAATTTGGAATTCTCCATTGCGTAATAATGGGGTTACTCTGGCAACCTGTGCCACATGATGACAGAGCTGTAAAGATCAAATGGAATGGCAGGGTGTGTTGCCAGGATACAGCTGGTTATTGATCTGCTGTGGTTTAAACATGAGATGAGGCTCTTATCATTCTGCCCTAATATGTGTGTTTGTCATTGGCAAACAGCTCCAAGACACAAAAGTGTGTACACAACACATAATGAGTACATCCATATCTGCATATGGAGTGCTGGATAAAGCTCTATGTTGTCAAAAGATAATTCTGATAAGATAAAAAAAATAAAAAAACACTACAGTCGTTGTAATGGGACTCGTTTACCTCAAAAAGAGAAGAAATAGACATTACTAAAATTGTTAGCAATCATGTTGAAATTGTAATTAAAAAACGTTACAGTAAAAACCTATTTATTGGATATCTGTAAGTACCATGTATGGTGAAAGCTATATTGCTTTTTGTTGTTGTTTAAAAAAGACAGTACATGTCATATTGTATTTTTTAGAAATAAAACATAAATTACATAAAACAGCCATGACAGGACAAGCAAGGAGTTCGTAAACGACCTCTATAGCCATGACAGGACAGACAAAGAGTTCCCAGATGACCTCCTTGGCCGGAACAGAACGGGCAGATCGTTCATTGACGGCCTCCTTGGCCGGAACAGGACGAGCAGAGAGTTCATAGATGGCCTCCTTGCTAGAACAGAAAAAATACTGTTAAAATGATGTTTTTATTATTAAAAGATAAAATGTAAAATGTGTAATAATAGTAATAATAATAGTTATTATTATTATTATTTATGGAGAATTTTTTCTGGTTTTACTCACAAAATATAAAAAAATAAAAAGATTAATCAATTATTGCTATATTTTGAAGTTTATTAACAAAAGCAACGTTTTAATCCACTGACCTTCATCAGGCATAGTCAGTTTTTACTCACAAAATAATTTTCTTATTTTTGTCTTCAATTATTCACTTTGGTTTGTTACATTTTATGTCATTTAATTCATATTTACTGATTAATTTAATTTAATTTAATTGCCTATTTGCTAAAGATGCATTTTTATCAGTCCATTACAGCAACAAACGGATTTGAATAGCTTAAATATTGTAAATTAATATTATACAGCTAGGGAAAATGGTAACACTTTACAATAAGGTTTCATTTGTTAACAGTTCATATGAACTAACTGTGACATACTTTTAAAGCATATATTAATCTAATGTAATGTTAATATTAATTTCAACATTTACTAATACATTATTAAGAACAAAAGTTGTATCTGTTAATATTATTTAATAGACCTGAGCTAACAATGAATGGTTGTATTTGTAACCAACGATTAACAAATACTGTAGCAAATTTTGGTAACACTTTAAGGTGTCCTTGTTACATGTTACATGTACTTACTATTATAATAACAATAAATTATGCATAATTACATGCAAGTAACCCTAAACCAAACCCTAATCCTAACCCTAATCATATAGTAAGTACATGTGGTTAATTAATATTATTCAGTACTTAATCATACTCAGGGGTTAAATTGGGATTTGCTATGTTGGGGGGTGGGGGGGCTCTATGTTATGGAGCTTACATATACAGTATATATATATATATATATATATATGTGTGTGTGTGTATGTGTGTGTGTGTGTGTGTGTGTTTTGTTTTTTTGCAAATATGATTTATTCTTAAGCAATATTCTCATCAGTTTTCTATCAGCTGTGACATATAAATCTAGCCTATGTGTTTTTTATATTTTATCCAAGGGATAATTTTAAGTTTTTTTACCTTTATAGAGGGCATTTTCCCACTAATCTCATGAATACTTTCATTTCACATTCTTACATTTTATCTATAAATTCAATCATAATAATGTGATTATCTATACGTTATCAAATTAAATAATTTACACTAAAAAATACAACTGCATTAAATAATATTATGAGATTATTTTAAATATTTTTGAACATACAAACTAGAATTGATGGTGGAAATGATACTTTTCAACGAAATTAAAATGCCAGTAAGGTGCCAGTAGCGTTTAATGAGAGAGACATTGAGTCGTTCATTCAAACGATTCATTCAAATGGCAGATTCATCAGGGGCCGGTTGCAAAAAAGGTTAAGACTAGTCTTAAAAGTTAGTCAGCTAATTTTTTTCTTTAATACTGGTCATATTTTTTTTTATTCAGTTACATAAAAATGTAGATTAGTCTGAGTTGAATCCAAAAATAAGACTGATTACCCTTTGGCTAACTGCTAGTTGGTCAGACCATAGACATAATAAATACCTAGACGCCTCATTGGCCGCTTTGAGCCGTTGCTGCGATACGTCAACATGTCCGCCATGTTTGTGAAGGCAAGACTGCCTTAAAAATAAATGGAGGTAAACGGAGGAGCTGCATTTTTTTTTGGGATAAAAACACGATAACGTTTAGATTTATCAACCGATTTCAGAGGTTTGTGATCTATATGGAGTTAAAAATAACTCTGCCTCAACTTATTTAGATAGGTTTGGAAAATTATTAATTTTCGTAAGAAATTGTGAAAACTCACACTTGTCTCGCTTGTTGATTTGATTGATTTTTT